ACATAGCTGTAGAAAATAGAGCGAAAAAAGGCAAATAAATTAAGAGTCATTGATGCAGAAAACAATTGAACTATGGGTGAAAGCAAGAGAGTCAGTCCAATCTCTGACATACAGTTATATTAAATACCCCTAGCTTTAAAAACCTTCAATTGATTGTGATGCTTGGTTAGAGAGGGTAAAAAGAGAGATGTAGGGTGATTTCTAACCTTTCTTTTCACCAGACACAAATATTTTTACAGTTCTGCCCCCAAATTACAAAACAGACAGGATCTCTTTATTATGAAAACCCCTAATTTGAAGATCTGACACTTTTCACTTCTGCTAAATTTGACTTCTGCGACTTTCTCAGGCTAATTATATGTTAGCAGTTTGAATGAAATTGAAATGAATAAATTATATGATATTACATCATGTTATATGATATGATAATTCCAATGAGATTGGTTATATTATTACAAGAGTTAGTAAGAATTAAGGATTGTATACCAAAAATAACATTGGTACCTATTGACTATATGTAATACTAGCTGGACTATTCTACACCTCACAACTACTAAATTAACTACCAAAATAGACAAGTTCATTATTAAATTAATGACAAACTGGCAACCTGTAGGTTAGTTAACCCAACTGGACTTCTTGGGAGGCCTTGCCTGGAAAGGAAATTTAAGACTAGAAATAAAGATGGATTAAAGAAAATGAATAAAAAGAGATTGTTATGGTACATGTATGTATATGTAGTGAAATTAAGTTCTTATTGGTTAGAAAGCGTCATACTCTATATAATATCCTTATTTAAATCAGATATTTTGTCTTAAGAATCCCAAGATTTTGCCAGGCAGGATAAAGAAAAGCCCTATTGCTCTTTACATGATAGGTCAAAAGAAATACTCAAGATTTTGATGATCACAATATTCATTAGACTTTATTTATTTTGATTGAAAGCTTTTATTTTTACCTCTCAAAACACAGTAAATTAAACTGTCATTCTGGTGTGCTGGTATATCCTGTGGGCAACCACTGCCTAAAGTTAGATGATTAACATTGCTTGATTCAATTGCATAGTCTGAAAGATCATCTTGAGACATATAAATTAATTTCTATTATGTAGCATTTTGGTCTGTTTTTCAATCTCAAATTCCATCATCAGCTTGTTAATATGGGGTCTTATCTTGTCTAAATATTCTAATGAAGTAGGGAAGCATAACAAACAGTGCATTATCATATTAAAATCTACATATACTTAGAAATTGATACAATCCTGTCAACACCCTTATAGATTGTGTTATTATCATTCTTACAACATATTATATATCTGTTATAAACATAACCCTGATTACTGCAGTCTTTTAGGATGTTGACAAGACCAAGTCTAAAAGTTACTTTTTGTTATTTAAGTAGGTGATAAGTCTTAAACAATATATACTTATTGTTTTAGATATTTTAAGATATCAGTGTTAAGCCTAGAATTAAGATAATTCAGATAATAGATCCAGGAATCATGACTTATTTCTGTCAAGAACTGAAATGATCATATAGGAAGTTAAATAAAATGGAAGATATTGCTGAAAAATCATTTGATTTAAGAAATGTTTATTGAATAGATAAAAGATCTTCAAAGAGAATGAATTCAGTCAAATCAACAATTCAACTTAGAAATAAGTCTTCCAGGGCAGATTTTCTTCAATATCTTTACCCAGTGCTTATTACTAGGGCTTATTAACAAAAACTAGTACACTTGGTAGAAGTTCAACAAGATTTATTGAAACTTGGACCACAAATTTGGCCATTGAGCTGTGAATTTTTGTAAAAATTTTGTACTTTGAGAATTATGAACCATCATATACCTTTCCCCCTTTAGCCATTCAATATTTATTTGCATCCTACGGGCCTTTCTGCTGACAAGTTTTAAGATATGAGCAAATTACTATGTTAAAATAATCCTTTTATCTGAAAAGTGAAAGCAAGCAAGTTCTAAATGATAATTTATATATAACTACTGACACTAATTTTCATAGTTTAGTGAAAGAAATAACACTTTTTAATCCAAACATCAAAACTCGGATAGCAGTGGTATATTATCATTTCACCCCTAGATCTTCAACATTTCTTGAATAGCAATTTAGAGTTTAGTTCTCAGGGGGTTGATAACAAAGTTAGGGTGAAACTCTAATGCCCATTGTCCAGTGAGATTGACCACTACTGACCAATGTGGTTAAAGAGAATTTAATCACTAGTTTTTATATTGAAGACTGTGATAATAAAACCTTAGGGGAGATGTTAGGAGATAGAATCTTCTAGATGTTCAACCAACTGGCTTGACTTTATCAATACCTCAGGGGATCACAATAAAGAGGAAGGATATGCCAAAAATATACACAAAAAACCTTCATTGGGTCTTTCATTTTAAATTTTGTAGGGTAAATTGAGATAAGTTCTAAGTTATCTTAAAACAATTTTAAGATCTATGAAAATTTTAAGGCATTAAAAAGAAGTATTTTAGTCCTCAGATGTTATTATAATTTGAAATAACTGAAAGATCATATACAGAATATCTTGTTAGAAGAACTCATGTTTAGATCTCAATAATATATTTCAGAACAGAAAATGGTTCTTAACAATATTCATTAAAAAAAAAATACTGCCAGAGTTGAACTGAATATTGACTTTAAATCAGCTCATGTTTCAGTGAAAAGAAATTAAAACTCTCAATTTTGTTCTTATTTCCTTCCATTTTCAATTTTGGTTACAATCTAGATAGATGTGTGAAGAACTCTCCAACCACTGGTATGAGTTCCTCTGAGTACCACATAATTGCCATGTTATAATAAGCAATAGATTACAAAATTGTTATCTAAAAAATATCTTGTTTTTGTGGAAGCCCCTCAATACTCTACTGTATAAAGTACTTTTATCATAGGCAACAACTATATTGTGACATTGAAAAGACTTTCTTATAATGGATACAGTCTTCCATATTAGCAGATCATACAAAATGCAGAGTGTTAATATTGAGAAGCCATACATGCTTTGCCAGGTCATTTGTCTTTTCACATGATAAAACTAGGTTTATTTTCTCTGAACAATAACAGAATTCCTTTTGTTAAATCACCTTCAGAAATTGAGCTATCAATATAAACTTTTCAGTCAAATAACCTTTCCTAATGTGCAAGTGACAATTACCTTTTCCTCCAAACATCGAAATCAGCATTTTGTTTCTTCCAGGCATATAAACAATCACCTTGTAAAATAAATGGCACAACTACCCAAGAGTATACAGCCAGACAAGGACATTTACACACACTTTGACTGTTTGGGCAATGTTATTGGCAATTGTTCAATCTAATGTGTCCATTTCCACTTGAAGTGAGCTTTATTTTATTTGCTCTTCGAGACTTTTTCTTTAATTTTTTGTCAGTTAGATCAGGAGCCTTATTCTTGAAAACTTAGTTTTGACCCCAAATTTTAAGAAATACAGTTATCTGATTGGATAGTACATGTACTAACTTTAAAATCAATTTGAAGAATTGATCAATTCTAAAGATCGGAGCACCAAAATCATCTGAATTAGGTTTTCAAAAATTAAGGCCCATGGCACATAATAAAAGAACATTATTTATAAATTTGATTTTTAATTCATTATATATTACATTTTTTTTTTGCATAAAAAACATAGTAAAAATAACTAATTTTCCCCCAAAATTGTTTTGGATTCGACTTCTCAATTATAACAAAATGCTAACAATAATGATGTTCAGGGCTAGCTTTACACACTAAACTGAAACTTTGAACATCAAAAAGAATTTAACAATCATATAAAAATAGTCCTATTTTAGTAATAACCTAAAAAACTAAGAATGCCATAATATGGGCAGTGTTTTTGGCAGTATTAGAATATTTGGAGTGTTACTGGCAGTGTTTTTGCCTTTTGTTGAGTAAAGTTAATCATCAATAACTCAATCTTAAAGTTAATGTCATTCAATTAGTTAATACCTTACACACATTTTTATATCACATTTATATTAGGTAGGAATGAAGCTTTGACTAGTTAAAAAAAAAAAAATGTCAAATTCAGAGCATTAGATGTTTATAAAATACTAATTTATTTCAAATTACTAGAGTAAATTTAGTTGTGATAAAAATAAATTCATGTTTTTATCAATTGGACTGAGGTAAAGGCTCTATCTAAACAGATCTAATATTACTACAGAAAGAAATCTAAATCTAAGTTTTAAATACAATTAGGATTTTTTTGTACATTTTAAATTAAATTATCACAAGAAAATATAAATAATGAGATAATATAATTAAAGAATGCTAAAATACAGAGATTTCTTTCACAAGAAACGCAACAATTTGGTTTGGAATTATCAAAAAATGATAACCAAAATAAATATTTGTTATACATGTCAGATTTTGAATTAAGTGTAAGATTTGGTATGTAGTATCTGTAAAGATAATTTTGTTACCCTAGCAAAACAGATATGATGTAGACGGTGATAATAATTAATTGTTGCATTTCTTCTCCAATAAATAAATGATAAGTTGTAATTTATTTCTCTCCTATCTGTTGGCAAATTAAATTAATTTTAAATTAAAATGTCATATATTCTTAATTGAATCAGATATAAGTGAATTCTAGCCTATTTATGGCATTACAAAATTCAGTTCTTTTTTTTTTTGGTCCTACTTCCCTATATATACATTTATAGTGTGATATTTTGAACCTTTTCTTTTTGTAATTTACAAGTTAGACAAATATTGACCATTAAAATGAAATATTTAGATCATTAAAATGGACCTAAAAGATCTAATCTATGTTAAAATAAGTCAGTTTTGTGAAGGCACAGAGGTAGTATTATATTAGTCCCTCAGATCTCTTAAGATTTGAATATATTATTTTTTCATATTGCATAAGACACATTGCACATGTCAATATTATTATAACATTTTCTTATTTTTTTCACCATTTTGTAAAATATATTATGATATACATACAATTATGAAATCATGCATACTAACACAGAGGACATATATTCAGAATAATAATTCTTACACACTTCCATTATAGTTTATATTCATACTTTGTAAGCATTCAAGGCCACTTTCTTTTGTAAAGTTTTTCACACAAGTCTGAGATCAACGAAGGCAGTGATATCAAGTTTTTAACTTGTTTAGTCAGTAAATTACACTCCTGCTTATCGTTGCAAGTCAATTTCTCGCCCCTTGTAATACATTTTCTTAAAAAAACTGCTGTCATAGTCTAAAAATTATTTCTCACATTTGATTGTGTATTGAAATCATCAACCAAACTTTGCAGCAGACAATTTTTGAAGCACTGATAAAAAAAAAGTCTTTTCTTCTCGACTAGGAATAGCACAAGTACTATGTCAACTCCACAGTTAAAATTGTCTTGTTTAAAACCACCGGAAGATATGTCTATAAACTGACACTTAATATCAACATTCTTCATAACCCTCTTTTATAATACCACTTTTATTAGGTAAAGGTTTTTTATCACTTTGTGGTGGTGTTAATAATGTTATTACTTGAGCTGCCATGTCAGGATCAGGACTCCGCCTACCAGATTCATTGAGCATTTCTTCATGTCTTTCTTGAGCTTTTTCCTGCAAATAGAAATAAACAAACTTGTGAATCTCTTTCCAGTAAAATTTGAACTGATATTAAAATGTCAATCAATGAATCATCTTTTAATACAAAGATCTATTACTAAGCAAACTTAAACTCATGCAGCATTTTTGACTATATTTTTTTAGTTTTCTGTCTGGAATCATTAAACTATATAATCTATAATGTTACTTACCAATAAAGCTATTGTTACTGAATGTGTTTGTATATTGTGACTATCGTCTGAAGCTACCGTTGAGAAAAATTTAATTTCTAATGGTCCATCTTCACGAATAGTTACAGCAAATGGCGCCATCCATTGAACACATGGTAATATATCAGACCATTTAAAACCTAAAATAACAGAAGTTAATGAATAATACAACCTGTTATAAATCATTCGTCAAAGTGCATAAATTTTGTATGTTCATTGGAACAATTTGTTATGGCAGTAGTTATCATGCCCTTTCAAATCCTTCTATGCTTTTAATTTAACCAGTCTGCCACTATAAAACAAAAGAATTTGACAGTGCAAAAGTCTTTAGGTTAGTCAAAGCTAAGAGAAAGGTTGCGATTTTTTACATAACATACAAATCACATTTACCTGATACTGATAAAGCTATTTTCTCTGATGATAAATGATATAGTGCTGATGCTGCTATAACACTATATGAGAATTGTAGACACCCTATATCTAACATACATAGATCTAATAACTGAAATAAAAACACAATTTATAAGATACTTAGAAAAACACAAGGTCTGTTAGATATTTCAAAATCAGTCAGTGTGAATGAAGGCACAATGAAAAGAGTATTCTAACTGATTGTTTCAGAAACGAATTTTTTAACAATTTGCTAGTTGTGCAGAGAATTGTAAATATAACTCACCCTTGCTATTTGTACAAAGGAATGACCTGAAAATTGTGGATACACAAAACTATGTTCTGTTTCATTAAGTTGATCTATGTTGGAAACTTGAAGGTATACTCCTAACCAATTGTTAACTGTCATTGGTGATAAACCCCAGCGTAAACACTTTAAATATAGATTTGTATTATATAATTAATGATTTCCTATGTAAGGTTTTACTGGATCTTAGTATTAGGCATACCCACAGTGAAATTAGCAGAAGACAGAGAGTGGTGTTGTGGAGTTGCTTCAGGCCTAATTAATTTCACACATAGACAATATATGGTTACATCAGAAATTTTGCACCTTTCAAAACAAAAAATTTGGATGACCAAAATCATTCACTGCACTTTTTCTTGATGTATAAAGCAGCTTTTTCAGATAGAAATGAGTTGTAAAGTTGTGATAGAGATTTGTTTAAAGCTAAATATTCCATTACCTTCAACATGATTAGTTCTTGATCTAATATTTCAGATTCTGTACAGGCATCATCAGTAACATAAGCAAAGTCAGTTAATTTTGGTGGGTAAATTTCCTGTAATGAAAAACATTGAAATTTAATGAATAATTTTCTAGAAGAGATTATCAAATATAGAAGTTACAGTAAATCTCTTTTCATTTTGCAAATGAATTTTTACAAGATATTCATCACAGACGAAATCTTACTCAACAGTCACTAGTCACATTTGATGGTTCATATTTCTTTTAAGAATCCTCATTTGACCTATCACAGAGCAAAATCTGATCAAAAACTCACCTCTAATTTAGCAGCTATAAATAATGAAGTAATGCCTATTAATTGTAACTGATGTTTCTGTACATTAGATTTAGTAGACATGTATCTATCTAAGAAATCCATAGCTAAATAATATGTTTCTCTATGTAATCTATATACTTCACAAACCTGGAGTAAAAAAAAATAGGAATATGAAGACTATATTTATGAAATATATACAAAGATATTTATGCAGTTATCACAACAATAAGAGGTCAAATAATTGCGAATTGAAAATATGGAAGCTAACACTTAAACCCTCAAAATAATGTGGACCTTGTCATACTTACTTCTATTAACCAATCTAATAAAATAGTTCTCATTCTACATTGTAAAGCTGGATGTTTATCAAACATATGAGTATCACGAACATAAAACTCTTCTTTCTTTAACATTAACTGCCATACTTCTTGACTATCAGCCCAGCTGAATTTAGGTAATGGTGAAAATCGCAGTGATTTCGGGGTGGTGAAGTAGTTTTGGAATCGGAATTGTGAGCCACGGAATAATTCGGTGGGTGTGGTTTGTTCATCAGGACTGCACATAGAACTAGCTGTATCCATAGCAGGAACTATTGTACAAGACGTTACTGAGGAATCTTCAGAAATTGGTATCCACTGGTTCTGAAATAATAATATTAAATGACTTAAAATCAAGTATCTGAAGGTTGAAGTTAACATCAGTATGTCAACTTATGTTATACTTTTTCTGCTAAGACATTTTTACATAACCAGCACAAGAAAGATTGAAGTCCATAATTGTTTACCAATAAACAAAAGCTTTGTAATATATGTATTATCTTGCCATGTTATCATGTACCAAGACAGATGAGCTTTAAGTAAGATTCCACTTAGTAATGGATCAGATAAGCATATGACTAGCAGAACTCAATCATGAAGGAGGGATTTAGTTTTGAAGGACAGCTGTCAATCATAATCTATTAACCATTTATGTTGTCACACTTTACCTACATTACATAATATTTCATAAGAACATGTTGTTCCTCAACACTGTTTAAACAACAAAAGATAGATGGTGGCTATTAAGTTTTTTGAGGCACTGACATCAAGGAAAGCAGACTATGAAAGTAATCTGACTGGTCCTGCCAAGTATTTTGACTAATTGACTAATGTAGGTATAGGTTTTCTGTGAGGTACTAGGGCTGTCTCTAAGGTGGGCTGATTTATTAATTAACAGATTGTGTCATCAGTGACATCATGATATTGTTAACTTTCTCCTCACATGTCAGTCACTCATATAATGAGACAAACAATCAGCCTACAGGCTTATCAATAAACAATTAATGAATTAATAAATTATTTAATTAGTGACTTGACTAAAATCAATATTGAGAGCAGACTATGTGTCAGAATAAATTTTACACAGTATAGAAAACATTCTCAAATTTCATGATTTTATATTTCCTAATAAAATTTCAACAAAAACCAACTTTATTACAAGTGAGTGTCACACGTTTTAAATAATATGGTCATCAATACTGCTATTGATTTAAAAAATTATTTCACAAGCTGAACATTTTTTAATGTCAATAGCAGAATATTAATGGTGGAATGACCTGGTTATTTTCAAAAGAAACAGTATCATCAATATTCATATTTGACAAACCTATTGACCCAAACTTGTCCCAAAATGGCTGAAATGACCTGAAGAGAATTTGCTCAGTGAATACCTCTACAGATGTCCTCAAACTACCCAACACATGCTCACAACATCCACAATAGGCTTTATCTTTAAATTCATAAAAGTGGACAGTGGTCATTATTTAAGCATGGTATCAATCATATAAAACTGACCACTGAGGACAAAACCAAACCAAATCATTTAATCAGAGATTGAAATAAACTTGAACAGGTGATTCAGTGTGGAGCACCTGCCACCCCCATTCCTATACATTCTCTTTAGACTTCACCTTTATAATTACTTCTAGTATTTCCGCAATAAAATTACAATTCGATAACATTAACAAATTGATGAGCATTTTACCATGTTTTACAGTGAATAAAACTTTTATGTAAGAATTATGTTTGAACATAAAAATTATGAGAGACTTGGCTTTAATGCAATTATTCCATAAGGAAAACAAATTAATGTCATGTCATAACTACTGAATGAGAACTGACAATTTCAATACTTCCTTTAGTTTAGAACTATATACATATAAGCTTACATATGAAACTTTAAACTGTGGTCAACAGACAGTGTAGTAGAGTGAAATAATAGCAATTGGAATTTACCTGAAATGTCGAACTTCCATAAAATATGTGAAAGAATTAAGTTGTTATCTGCATTCCCTTACATGGAGCTTGTTCCACTTGCAGTCTGGTCTGCACATTTTAATACATGACACTAATGAGAGAATGAGGATAAAGAAAACTGGTCAGCCATGACCACTTCCCATCAATCTGACCTTACTATACTTCACTCTTGACCACTAGCTAACTCCACCCTCACTCACTGACCTAGTCTTGTATAGTTATGGTTCAGACAAGAGTAACCCCTTCAGTTTGAAATGGGGATTAAAGATTTGTAAACCATAATCCGTTAATACAATTTAAGGGATTAAGCATGAATATCAAAGTGAAACTTGTTTGACAAGTAAAAAGTAGGACTGAAAAATATGCCATATTTTAACACACGCAATTACTGCCAAATAATTCAACACCTAATACTTTGAGTTTGGCCATTCATTTATCATTAGGATAAGAGAGTTAATACTTGATTGTTGATCAGCCAGATAAAATGGATTAATGTTTCTTGCATCTTCCCCACTTGTCTAGTCCCACTTGATTTGAAAATCTGTTTCTACTCTTACATCATGTATTAGACAATTGAGAGATGACATGGAGTGGATATCTAATTTATTTCTAATATTAGATGATAGGCATGACAAATAAAGTTTGATTGACAGTTACACCTCCTTTCATTTTCAACAGTTGTAAATATTGTTGGCAGATTATTTAGAGATTTCCTTTCCCTTTTATTAGTCACTATTTTCCCACCAAACTACACACCATTTAGGATCCTTTCATAGGCCTTATCCATTTTATCAACAAGTTTCCAAATTAATTCTCTAACTTTACAATTGAAAACACATAAAACCTTGTCACCAAAGTTCAAAAGACCATCTGCAGCTTAGGCTTAAAGTTAAATTACCCAATATTAAAATAATTTGTCATGGATTAAAACAATATAATTATATAATTTATATTACAGTAGGGATTAGAACAATCAATTCTTCTGGGACACTTCAGTTTGCTATGAACAATAGATTGTTTGTAGATGTGATCAATAAGAAGTAGGTAGACTAGGACCCCATCTTATCAAATCTAGACAGGGGTGTTATTAGCTGTTTGACAATAAAAACCTTTGTTTTAAAAACCATGGGGTTATAATTCTTTATTCCCCTCACCATGTAACAATTAGAATCTCTTGGTTGTCCATCTCCTTCAATCAAAAACCTGTTTTCTTTTGTTTTAAACCCCATTATTAACCAAATTTTTAAGCACAACACACTAGGGGGCTTAACACATCTTAAATACAAGCTGCATTTGGTTTTAGTAAGTAAAAGATGAAGGGGGTCATTAAGATTCTGATATATGTCAAAGCTGGGGTCTCTCCAAGTACCACTCTGTAATACCCAAGAGGTCAAACTGACCACTTGTTCTATAAATAACCAATGTCCAGTGGTCAATGGTTGAAGCTCTATTATGGCCATCAAAGGATTCCGCCAGTAATTGTACAATGATGTGCTAAAGCTTTTAAAAAGAAACAATAACATCATTTAATGCTTTCATCAGGTGGTAGGTGAAAGCAAAAATTTGCCAGCACAAGCAAAGAGTATTTATTTAATGGATTTGATCTGTTTACATGACAAAAAGACTTTAACCTGAATAGTAATTCTAGCTCAAATAACTCAGAGCCATAGATTAACATTATATCTGTGTTATTTTTGTTTAAAAAACAACATTTACTTCTTACTAGTTGGACACCTAAGCTAACATGTAAATCACTGTTTGTCAATGTTACACAAAATTACATTTTTAGTGTTGCTAAACATTTGCATTGCTAAATATTCTGCCCATAGTTTAAAATCATCATGAATTTTAGATGCAGCAAACAGGCATGTCAATTTTACTACAAAAAGTCTGCATTTAGTGGAGTTGAGCAATTTCTGAACTAAGCTTATTTAATAAGAAGTCTGGAAAAGATTTTAAAAGATTCTTAAAAAGATTGATTTTGAAGGTTAAAGATGGAAATTGTCAGTGGAATGTCAGAGTAATATGTTCCTAGAGAATGGAATTTAACAGCTCATTTAATCTAAGAAAAGACATGTCTGAACAGAATAGCAGGAAATTCCTGGCAGTGAACTAAATTTGACCCGGTCAACTCCCTGAAGAGTTTGAAACTAATATTTCATGTCTTACCAAATTACCTACATCCTACAAGTCTTGAGATAGCAACAATGAATCATTGGTAATGGAAGACCTTTCTTAATGTAGAATTTTATGTTCAAAATTTTGAAAAAATTTTTTTAACCAAAAATAGAGTTTGCTTATTTTATCTTCCATAAAATATTGATTGAACCATAAGAAAATATCAAAAGATATAAAGTTGTGGAAACCAATTGTCTTGCAAATGACAACTGTTGTTACTAGAAAGAGACAGAAATTCATTATTATATTTCATGATGATGACCTGATATGGCGTGTGTCGAGCGAAGTAGACAATGGTTAATTTCATCTGGACAACTTTTTTTTTTTTAAAAAGGGGTTCAAAAACGTTATATGCTTCATCGATAGCAAATTAAACATGAAAATCTTTAATACACAAAAATTTCATGTGAAATCAAAATCATACACATTCCTTGTTATTGCCATACTTCATGAAGCTGTGACACACATGTTCAGTCAATATACACATCAGAGATAAATGTTATAGATAATGATAAAAGTTTACATCAAAATTATATACAAATCTTTACTAAGGATGATAATGACCTCCTTAATGACATTGATTAGTTGACAGATTTTATTCCCTTAATTAATTAAAATATCATTAATTACTAAATTAATTGCCAACATTGAAAGACTTGAGAGTAATATATATTTCCATTTGCATGTGATCGCTTTCCATTCAGACATGGAGAACTTTACTTACAGATAAGGCAAGGCAACTACTCCATTTACCCTACCCCATTTACCATCCCTATGAAATTAAGAATATTAGTAGATTGTAAATTTAGATCAAAGAAGCTAGCTCAGAAAGAACAGAATATTTCAAATTGAATTCCACATTCTGGTAATGGCACTTTGGGCTGAATTATTTTTTTTCAGCAAAAGTTTTATGGGCACATTGAAGAAGTTATAAATAACTGTTATAAAGAAATGAAGCAAGCTGGGTGCACCACTCTCAGCCCTTTCTTACATTTCTTCCATTGAAAGGAAAGGCCATATAAAACTAAAACTGGGTATTTGGAAGGGACATGAAAAATACACATTGAAACTTAAATAACACCAGGGCCATAAAGGAGGACGTAATAAATCCAATTTGGACCTCATCTGGTGACACAGACCATTTCCATTTTATTGGACAATTATATGCCTCAAGAGGTCATAAAAATGAGAAGAAAATATATGGTAGTTTTAAAATGTGTTCTGTCTACAAAGTGGTTCAACATGGTGCCTAATGGACAATTAACACCTTTTAATTAATAATTTACATGTTATAACAAACCATTGTTTCAAAATTTACTTTAACTTTGGTCTAGACTAAAATCACAAGTTAGGTGTTAAAATTTGTTAAAGTTTATTTACTAAACAAGTTGATGGTAAACTTTGTAAGTGAAATGGAGGCAAGAAGGCTGGAACTAATTCATTTTTGCACATTTTGTTTCTTTTTAACAAATTGTGGAAGAGCTGAATCTGTTTTTTTTTTTCATCCATAATCATGATTATCTTACACACTACTATCTAACTGAATCGATAATTCTAATATTGCGTTTGTCAAAACTTTGGTATTTCTACATTATTTTTTTTCATCTCTACTTTTGGCATATTTAGTTGGAGCCAAAAGCCAACTATAGAATTAGAAGAGAAGGAAGTTATTATCATTTGCCCGCTATTTTATTCCTTCTTTCTTTCATTCAATGTTTACAACCTTTCAACTTGGCGCGTGCCAATCTTCCATATGCGGCGTTTTTGATTGGTTCACCATCAAAACAGAAGCCCAGCTCGTGAATATGCATGAGTAACAAATATGGCCGATGTCCTAAATGACATTATTACCAAAGAAAGAAAACACTATTTCTCCCAAATATTACTTGCAATTAGGATATGCAATAAATAATTGCTTTCATATACATTTCATGCATCAAGTCACACACAAATTATTCACCTCATAAGACCCCTGTAATTGTGCCAGCTCGAGTTTTCGCGGGAGTGTCAGGTGAAATCATGGCGCGAATCTCACCGAATTTGTCAAAACTTTAGGACTTAATAAAAGTTATTTCTTCACTAACCTGAATCTTGAACTGTTGCCTTCGTTTAGAAATACCCATTTCCATATCGTCAACCTAAAAAAATATCACCAGTATTTTTAATAAATTGGTAAAAAACCGCCAAACGTGACCCTACCCTCATCGAACAAAGACCGGTTTTCTCCATCAAAATAAAAGAAGTACACCAAATGACAGCTCAAAAAAGACTTACCTCTTCTGCTTTGCGTTTCCGACTTATTCTTGTAGAAGGAGCATTTTCTTGTTTCGTTTTAACAGGATTCCTTGTACTGAAATAAATTGTCAAATTGATGCATGACTGTGGCATTTTATCAATCAAGTTAAAAAACTGTGTCAAAGTCGTGGGAGAATCATCCACTGCAATGTGTGATTAATATACCGCTCTCGACTTGAATAAAAGTAAAACATGCTAGATCTACCGCATTTTCGAATGAAAAAAGAAGAAGATCATTATCAATAAAGATTGAAATTACATATGCATATTAATAAATTACCTTTTTCTTGACATATTCCGACTGAATGTATTTGTCTTATCTGCAATAAAAATTTATAAAGATGTCATAAAATCTTGCCAAATGTCCACTTAATTTCATACCATCGGCGTCCAAAAATCAATCTTAAGATTTCCCACTGTTATGAATCACAAAATCCAATATCACAGGTAAAAATATAATAAATTGAGATCGCAATCCAACTTACTCGATCTCGAAAGAATCTTCACTTTTGATCGATGGTCCATTTCCAAAATAGCAAACCATAAAATAAAGTTTTTTGTAACAGTTTATACTGAAGATCATGCACATGTATAGCGGTTAATAGTTATACATTCTGACCTTATATGATTTCATTGAGGTCCTATCATTACTACAGCTCAAAGTAGAGTGAAGACAATCAGTTAGGACGAACCCTCCAAGCATTAAAATCTCTCGTGCCAGCTGTGCACGAACTGAGGTGTCATTCGGCCATGTCCCGCCAAATTACTGTCTCACTACGCACTGTTTTGCGCATGCATTAATTTCGTTAATTTTTGCTAAATTTCTTTTAAGTGAACGATTTTTACATATTTTGAACATCTTATCTCAAGTTTTTCCACCAAAAATCATTCAATTACTGTCGGGTTTAAAATCACTGACTTAATGAATTAAGGTGTGTGTCGTATAAACTAACCTATTTTAATATGAATTTACTTCCGAGGTTTGCGGCGCGAAAAATGATTTTTGGCTCACATATTTTTCAAAAATGTAAATTTTAATATATTGAAATATTGTACTTCCATCTGAGAATTATGTTACTTTATTGGCATGTCGTATTCCATTGATTATGTAAGATAATTCATGTTAAATGGGTCAAATTAAAATGCATCAAAAGCAGAACTGTTAAAGCTGTGTGAGTGAAGTTATTTCTTAGAAATGAAGATAAATATCTAGGCATGTAGCATAGCAAACTGTAGGAAATTTAATAATCTATAACTTTTCATTCATCTGAAAAACGGAATTTCCAAACTGAACTAGGAATTTGTTGCAACATGATTGTAAACAAATATTTCATTCATTCAAGCATTTGACTCCATTGTTGACATTCAGTGCGCATGAACGATCAGTGCGCGTATTTTCATTGGTTCAATTTGGCTCCGCCTATTAAAACTGTAAACAACAAACCAAGATGGCGTCAGCTATGGAGAAGTTTATTCACACCTTTAAACACAAATCGGCTTCAATTATTGGAATGATCCATCTAAAAGCCTTACCAGGTATGCATTCATTGGTCAGTTATGTCATGGATTAGATTATAATCTATTATTATGACAATCAATTCACAGCAAGTGAATTGTCAAGGTTTTTCATTGATGCAAACGATTACTACAATTTTACAAATGCATTACTATTACTAACTTTTATCAATAATTATTTAAAGTTGATTTGACAGAAGATATATATGCCTTCATTTTTAAGTTTGGAAATACATTCTAAGATTTCGAATAGAATCACCAAATTACCCCATTCACTTTACTGTAGGATTCTTTGTATTGATTACTGTACAGCCAAATTAATATTTAATACTACCTATTGCTTTTCAGGGACTCCACTCAATAAGTATAGTGTGAAAGAAATAGTAGATATTGCCTGCAAAGAAGCAAGAATATATAAAGATGCTGGAGTGGTAATGATTTTAACACATATTTTAAATACATAATTGTTATGTCACCTACACACTTGGGGTTATTCTTTGTTTCTTCTAACAGGGTAGACTGTCTATTATCTATGAAGTAATAATTACTAACACAAACTTTAACACAATCCCAGATAGACAATGATAAAAACAAAGAGGTGTCATTGCTAATTGTTCTCTTCTGTATTCTAAATTTACATACCACCTCTTTTTAAGCTATAAGAGAAATATTCTATGAATTCATATAGCAAACACAGATTTACATACATTAGCAAAGTATAAAGATTACCAGTTTTCAGAGCTTACAAAAAGTATGTAATGATGCCTCATGAGATCAGGATTTTAAACAAAAATTATTCATGTCCAAGAAATCCTACTAGATAATCTCTGTAAATAATAGCAATCAAGCTCAAAGTGTTTTTTAATTTCTTGGAAACTTTTTAATAATTTTAATCTAAACAACCTTATATATTTTCAATATACCTTAAATACCATTTTCATATAAAACAACAATTTGTGTACAATTTAATTTTGCAAACAAATACATTCTATAGGATGAGCCTGTACCACCGCCTGTAAACCTCCAGATTACAAAACTTGCTTCTTGAAGGTTTTGAAGGCTCTATTATTTTAATGATACACCTACTAATGCTGAAATCTATAGTTTCTACTTATTGCCTAGGCCAGTACCTAGTATCTCTTATAATAACAACAAAATATAGATATTGGTCAATATGAATTTCAAACTAGTAACGGCTGTAGTGATTGAGTTTGCATTGAGAAAAATTGAAACATAGGTACATGTGTTGCTATGGAGTGCAAATTTCAGCCAAAATATTTCAATTGACACTTGTCTGAGGGTATATTTATAATTTTTTTTTTATAAATTATGAAATGAAATCCAGCCATGGAGAAAATTTGTTACTAATATAGTACACTGAAGTACACATGTATATAATAAGATATTATATAATATTAGAAAGAGCGAAACCTGTACACAAGGTGTCAGAATTAAATGAAGTGTACATTGACAGTCAAATAAATATATCTTCCTCCTATCATAGGATTAAAATACTTACTTCAACTAGGCTTTATAATTGTATTCATGCTGAGCTCCTCCCCTGAAAGCATTCAGCTAATTATAGGATATTCTCGGCAATGACAGTTATTGTGCAGAGCTGAATTGCAATGTTATATAAATATTATTCCTGTTTTCAAACCAATACTTGAACTTATTTTGATGTAGATTATTCTGTATCACTTATTCTACATAAACTTTTACTTAGCCAAACAAAAGTACATGTACTCAGTATATATAAGGGGAGGAGGCAACGACTAAACCTTTGACTTCTAGCCAAGATTTTAATTCTTTATAATGAATGTATAGGAAACAAAACATCTTAAACTTTTTGAAAATCAAAAGGACTGGATAATAAGAGAGCAGAATTTGACTCTGATATTCTGTAGTAGACTAATAATATAATTTTAATTAATTCAAAATAGGATGCAGTTATGGTTGAAAATATGCATGATATCCCATATCTTCATACTAATCAAGTTGGTCCAGAAATAACAGCTACTATGTCTGTTGTTTGTTCAGAGGTAAAAAGAGTGTTCACACCAGGACCTGTTGGTGTTCAGGTTTTAGCTGGGGCCAATAAACATGCCATGGCTATAGCTCATGCTGCTAGTAAGTCACTGTTTTTTTTTATATTTTCCTAATTTTGATACATATGACTGAAACTGAAAACTTTTATAAAGGATAAGATAACTGATTGTGTGTTGTTCTACAACACTACTAATTTAATGTAAGGGAAGTAACTCTCTTTATACACCTCGAAAATTTCTGGTTAGTTTTCATTTGAATTACAAAATATTTTATAGTCTTTTAAAAGTCAAGAAACTTTATTTTAAACAGGGTAAGTTTAGACTCTAGTAAGGAAAATAATATAATTCATTGATATTTTCAGATTTACAGTTCATCAGAGCAGAAGGTTTTGTATTTTCACATGTTGCTGATGAAGGATTGATGAATGCCTGTGCTGGAGAGTTATTAAGATATAGAAAACAAATAGATAGTAATAATATTCTGATATTTACTGATATAAAAAAGAAACATAGGTTTGTATATTTGTTAATTTGTCTATCATACTCTCCTGGATAAGCTAGCAAACTTCAATCTCATTCCTTGATAGCAGTAGGCCTAGCCACTTTTATTGTATTAAGGAAGTTTGCAGCTGTTTGATTTGATTATACACTAGCTAATACAGCCAATCACAGCCCTTACATGCACAACCAAATTGTTGTATTTCTGAAAAGGGGTCTAAATGGCTGTATTTGCTAGCATACAATCGAATCAAGTGGTTTCATTTGAAAAATCTGTCATACAAGAAAGGTGGCTCGCATTCAAGGTTTAAGGCACAGTTTGTAATAGCTTGAGATTCAAGTAGACTGGGTTTCAAAATCTATACCAGACAGAAAAACATTGTCATGAGAGATTTTTTTTAATTAATGAAAGTGTACTGTCAGTTTTATGTTAATATAAGTATATGTCACTTGAGTAGGATGAATCCATTTTGATTTCTCATTGCTAATTTTATACCAAATGTATATTACATATTTCAGTGCTCATGCTATAACAGATGATGTTAATATAATAGAAACAGCTAAAGCTGCCCAATTTTTTTTGAGTGATGGAGTCATTGTAACTGGTCATTCTACAGGGCATGCTGCAAATGTTAAGGAACTAAAAGGTATGACAGGGATTTTTATCTCTTTTTGTAATACCAGGTACATTATATAGCCATGTGATGAATTCATTGAAATGTCATTCCTCAAACACCCTTTGTCAAAGGGAGATAATCATAGTTAGTTGTGTTCTGATAAACTTACAGACCATAGCTGACTCACTATTATCTCCCTTAGACCACAAATTCGAATGATTCCTGAAACAGTTTATTTGATTATAACTAATAAATATATGGTTTTCAATAATCATTATTAAACATTTTAAAGATGTTTAGGGTGTTAAAAACATTGTTGAAATATTGTTTACACAGATCATTCCTTGTAGTGAAATGTGTTGAATCTTGAGTTCTAAATTTTTATTGTAAGATGTGGGACTGTATGTATGCAGTTCTTTTGTATTTTCACTTTATTTTTTCAAATCACGATATTGATTTTGAAGATAGGATAAATCAAATATTCAAAATATATTTATGAAAATGTTTTCATGGCCAATGTTAGTCTTGTTATTATTGTAGGTGTGTTAGACAGTGTCAGTCTACCTGTTTTAGTAGGATCTGGTGTAACTTTAGACAATCTAGATTCCTATAAAGCAGCCACAGGTTTGATTATAGGATCATATTTTAAGAAAGATGGTAAATGGAATAATGATATAGATGAAGAGAAAGTTAAAAGGTTTATGGAGAAAGTTGTAGCTATTAGAACTAATCCTATTAAAGCTACCTATATTATGTGATTTTCTTAGTTATATTTAGGATATTTTATTACTATGCATTTAATTAATGAATAGCAGCATTATGATTTTTTTTTTTTATTCCATTTCTTCAATGATTTTTTTTGGGGTTACAGATTTCAGTGCTATCTCCTATTGCTGAAGTATTTTTTAGAAAATGTTCACCTTCACAGTATTGATATAATGGCATTTTTATTTTAAATTGTTGCTGTTTTGTTTATGAAAATTAAACCCCATTTCTAAACTTGTTGTCCATGAAGAGTTTTTAAACCTCAAACATGATTGGAAATTCAAATTCAGATTGATTCTGATTTTCAAAACAAAGTGACAAAAATTCAGCTTTTTGGATATTTTCTTTTTAATTTTCTATTCAATTTTTAAACCACTCTTATTTACAGTTACTTTGTATAAAACTAGGAAAAAATAGAAAACTAACTTTTTTTTTTATATTTGATTAAAATTGTAAAAGTATAAATTAAGCAATTTTTTTAAATAAAATTCTAAAATATTAGAAATGGGATATTACATGAGTATTATTTCATTTTTTATTGACATGACAAAATATCATAAAGTTTGTGAAAATCCATTATTGATGAACATGATATGTTGATATTTGAAATGTAATATAGAATTAAAAACAGTCTGTCAATTTTTACAACTCATTTTCATCATAATTCATTTGATCACTCATACGTTGTATGATAGCATGTGATAAAAGTCTGATAGTTTGCAATCTGATCTCATGTCAATGGGGCTGAAATGTCTGTTATATGTAAATGTGTTTTTATGATAATGATGTAGCTCTCACAGCAAATACACATGTATTTTCACTTATTTTTGAATAATTGATATGTTATGTAAGGTATATTTTGGTATAATCTCATTTTTGTGTAGCTTTGTATATCTAGTGAATTCTAATTACATACTTTCAACTTAGAAATATTAAAACAGAACTTGAATCCTGTTGTTACTCAGTTTCACGCTATGTGATCTCCAGACAACTAATCCTACAACAGTCAGTTATCTGAATATCGCATAGCGTGAAACTCTGAGTAACAATATGATTTTGTTTTAATATTTCTATATTACTCTACAATTAAAGTATTGAGCACTATTTTACAGTGAAAATATTTATTATTGTACTTTCAACTTATATCAATTGGTAAACAGGGCATCAAATTATTCAGTATTTATCTTAACTGGTAGTTTTATCAGATGGTAAAGTGAATATATTCCTTTAATATTCATTTCAAATGTACATGAATGTGTGAGTTAACCCAGAATATCAGTACAGAAGCACCTTGGTTATCATTAAGTTTTCTGATTCCTTATATTTTTATCTCTCAGATTGTTTTTCAAATTTATGGCTTTCTCCAGGTTTTCTATGTTACTATGCGTCCAAATCTGATAATTTTAAACCATAACTGTCACAATTCAGGTGTGTTTGGTTTATTTTTCAAATAAGTTATCTGTTAAAAGGTACATAATTATTGTTTTTTTCTATCGTTGTTTGATAGGCTAGTCAGATGTTTCATTTAAATTACCTGCCATGTTTTTTATATTAATTTATAATTTGTTAGAAATGTCAACAATAATTAATCTTATTATCACTTGATATATTAACTCTCAATTAAAGTGATGTGATCTTCTAAAAAAAAATTTTTTACTTTCATGAGAAGGGGAAATGGTCCCATAAATATGATGTTCTGAACTTTATTTCAGTTAGTGCCCTTTGCAGACATAGAATCAGACATATGTTTTTACACTGAAAGATGCCAATGTTAAACAAGACATTAATAATTAGAACACTGTCTCCCTTTAAAAATAAATTTTATGCATTTCAATTTGTAAGAAATTGTTTAAATATATTTGATGTTAACACTTATTTTGTTTTTCAAAGACGTCAGATGTCACAAATTGTTTTTGTTAATTTACAATCTCACAAATTGTCAGCAAAAAAAGTTGAAGTTTAATGGCAATAAAGATAATATCCTAATATATCATTTTCCTAATTTCTGTGAACAGAAAATATATATACATGTACATATGAAATAAATTGGTTTAGGAAATGCATTTAGTAAAACTAGAAGTTAACAGTCAGATTTATATTGAAGCTATAAGCTACCGTAAATGAATTATATGTAGCTACATAAAATCCATTATCTGTCCTAGACCTTCAAGACTGAGGTAAATTCTATAACATAGTTAGTGGTCACTCAAATTACCCCTTGAAAGTTAAAAGATGGTAAAAGAAGCTATGAAACAAATGTGTTGAATTTTTGTTGAATTGTAATGTATGGTAGCTATAAACATAAATATATTTAAATTGCAACTTCACAGCTGTTGTACCTCTACTAAACTTACTTTAAATATCTTCTATATCTTTATATGTTTTCTATTCTCTTTTGTGTTACACATTGAATATAAATTGTTTATTAGTTTAACAGAATCAACTTGACAACAAAATCAATTTAGGATATAAAGGTTTTTTGACAATATGTGACCATATTTATTATTATAATCCACTTATCTTAACATGATCATAGTAAATTAGTCAATAATTGTCTTTATTTATTTATTGGAAAATTTAAACTTTGGTTTTTATCACGATATTTCTAATGTATATTGTTAAAAATGAGTAATGTGCATTATTGACCTCTTTTATACTTAGTTACAGCTGCAATGTTCAAGTGTTAAGTTGATTTTTTTAAAACAACTTGCAGCTATGCAGCTCTTTCCTCCTTCATTTCTCCAGTCTATCACACACACTAAAAAGGATGTTTTAGCAGCCAGTTACCACAGTCAATAGTGTAACCAAATTCTTCTATTTTGAATAATTGTGTCAAAAATTGCGCTTACCAATCAAAAATTAAAAGTTGCCTGAAAATACAGGTCAAAGGTTAACAGTACATATCCCAAACATATAAAATGTTTCGCATTTAGTAAATGTTATATTGAATATGGTATTTGATTGGTGGAATATTTTAATGTCTACAAACAAGTTTTGCAGAACACAGTTGTCAGATCATTGATGGCAAGTTCACACCAGAAAAAATGAAGTGAGATATCTAGCTCTGCATTATAACTAGATTGATAAATGTAATAAGAATATAACAAATAAATTAAATACTAAAATTTGCTGTACTACCCTTATTTCTTTTGTTGAAATAATTATTACTTTACCAGATGTTTCATAATGTTATATTATAATTTGACATTATTTCTATTTAATACAATGATAATGAATGTTAAAATGCTTTATATAAATTGTACCTATTATTCATATTTAAATTTCAACAAAATTCCTTTTACAAACTTATGTATTAATTTTATCTCTTTAATGTAAAAAAATGGTTCTTTTCTTTAGTATGAATCAAGTATTTCTATTTAAAATTTTCAGCATTTGGTGGGAATGTAATGTTTCATTTGAATCGAGTTCTTGGGTTGGATAGCAATATAGGTATTCATGCAATAATAAAGAGGCAGTCTGATTTTTCAGCAAGTCAGAATATTAAGGTTATCTTTTAAAAACAAATTCAGTTTTATCATGTAGCATATATCTTTTTCACATATATTTTACACAGCGCTTATAATAATGAAAATTTTGCATACTGCCCCTAATCGGATAATTCCTTCAAAAATATCTCTAACTATGAATTTCTGTTTTTTGTATAGATGTCTTTATTATATAGTGTCTCAAGAAATGACGAGTCGTCTTCTTAACTTTCAAATGCAGATAATTCTGGATGCACATGGATATGAAGGCTTGAACACAATTACTGATTGGCTTAACTGAAACTTCCTGAGACGAAGGTACTATTGGTTAGAAAAATGGTGCACCTGTCTTTTATAAGTTTATTTGAAGAAATTTCTACAGAAAGGAATATGGTAATGATGTCAAAATAAAAGGGTACATGTAATGCAATAGTTTGAATAGGTAATGAAGTTCATTGCTTTACACTTTTTAATGCATTATTTACATCCTACATGCCAACATAAACCTGCAGATGGCATGTACACTTGTAAAATATTCATAATATGAATAGATAGAATATAGGTATTACACTTCTATCAAAACTATTTGGTTTATTTTGGAAGGAACTAGAATGTTTGTGCAATTTGTTGTTTTAATTTGATACCCCACAGAAAGAATGTAAGAGATTATTCCGGTATGATTTTCAAAACATCAAGATATTTTAGTAATGTAGAAGTCTAGTTACACCTTACAATCAAACAATAAGGAACCTCAATTTCCAATTAAAATTTGAATTTATTTTGACAATCCTATAAACTAAAGGGCAATGATAGCTTGCTAACTGTATCATTATCCTGGAATGAGTTCAAGATCAAAAAGAGACACATGAGAGGGGTTATTTTAAAATCTCTATTTATGACATGACAGTTGACTGTTTCAACCAGCAGGTGGAAGGTGTTAGAAATTCTGAAATGTAGTCAGACCTTTTGTGGTTGTGGACATATTTGGGTAGTGATAAACACACGCAATAATTAGACCTTCCAATATGGCATAGAAACTCAGATCATAGAGAAAGAATTTTTTAATTCTTTATGAAATAAATGATTTACAAAGAAAGGCAATGATATAGTAGATAAAATATCACTAAAATACTGTCAATAGTTAAAATATATAGTAACTATTTAAACCAAATACCAATTCTATATGTTATAATATGAGACTTGTTTCCAGCTTAGTAACCCGTAAATCAGATGTTTTCAGAAAAAAGATATAACTAGATTTGAAATGTCAGGACTGTTCAGGACATTTCCAGTAGATAAAAACATTCCTTACATGAAAACTAGAAACAAGGTCAACATATACATATAGAACTAGGCTTGATAATTTTCTTTAACCTTTATAAGGTCTTGAATTATACAACTCAACAAATAATATTAACAATTACCAATCATAATTAACCTTTGACCCCTCAAATTATTAACAAAATGTCATTCATCATAAATACATATGAAAGTAATTCTTGTATTCTTATACTAATAAAATAATAGTAAATACAATACCAATACAAGTATGGTAAGCATGGTCACAAAAAGTAGAAGACAAGAATTTTGGCAATAATATGCTTGAATTTCAAGATAAAAATAGATTATGCTCCCGTCTTCATTGAACTTTGCAATGAGCCATACAGCATTTATATGGATTTTTAAAAAAAAGGTTTTTGAGAATGGGTTCAGTATTTCTATTTGTTTCCTAATTTCAGTGTCCTCAAAAATATGTTGCCTTTAAACTAATAAACAATTGTTAAATAATTTAGCTTATCATAGCCAATTATCGTTAATGAGTTTCATTAATTAAAAAAACGAAATGTCAAATTCTTAATTACTGATAAGAGATTTCAATTTCCTTACCATATCCTTAAATAAAAATCATAAATTCTAACTTGAAATATCAAACATCATTGTCTGACTATATTAGGATTTCAGAGAGAAATAATGTAACAATTAGAATTGATGTGTTTTTTGTGTTGATAAGAAATTCTCAAGAAGTGAAATGATATTTTCGAAACAAAACATCACTGAAAACCCAGAAATTTAACAAATCCCAGCAATTAGCAACAAGATAATGTAATATTCTCAAAAAAAAAAAACCAACATAAAATTTTTTACTGAAAAATTAGATAAACATTTTTGCTATTTACCGTAATTAAACTCAGAAACTAACAAAATTATGTCAGTTACAATGAAATTTTCATTAAAAAATCAATTAAAAAATATCATTTTCTTAGACAAATTTGTAACAAAATGAAATAATTTTCTAATGATAAAAACAATATCATTAAATTAAACACGTAAAAATCAGATGAAAATCAAGTTCTAAATCACAGTTAATCATGAAAAAATCAACTAAGCTTATCAAAGCTGTGTTTTATATTTATATATTAAAATAAATAATTTGTTATCATAATATGTACATCTTTAGTTATATAAAGTTTAATTATATAAAGATTACTTATATCAAGATTAATGATTGAAAAAAATGATAAAATATGATGAATTGCAAGTATGTGGATTCCCATCTTCACAAGCTATTACAAACTTTTTATTAAAAATTTACTGCAATAGCCAATATTTTTGTATTAAAGAATACAGCTATTTGATTGGATTGTTTGGAGAAAATACAGCCAATCAGAGCTTTCGAAAGGCTGTAAACATTATGGCTTTGTTCACTGACTTTCTGTTGGGTCCTCTGATTTGCTGTATTTGCTAACATACAGTCCAATCAATTACCTTCATTTACAAACTTCCATGATACAAGAAACATGACTATTGCAGTCAAGGTATAATTACAAGGTTCATAATAGCATTGTGAAGATGGTGGATTCCACACTGTGGAACGTGAACATTTAAAAAGTATTATTGTGTGTTGAAAACTCAGCCATATATTGGTGTATTCCTGTTATTGCACTTTACTGAATTAAAATGTTGGAATAATTTACTTTGACTAGATTTTCAAATATCAATCAATAACAAAATTAAAAAACATGATGACAAATCAAGTTTTATATTAAGAATCTCTGCAAATTGGGGCAGAGTTTTTCTTATTCTAATAAGCTTTACAATTTACAATGTTGAGAACAGGTTAGAGAAAAATTGATAGACAGGTTTGAACTAACATGAAGCAATACAGTAGATACAAATGCAATGAGTGACTTCATAACAATACAAATAAAATTGATGCTTTGATCTAAATAATTTACAGTATATTGGATAATGCACAGTTTTTACCAAGTTAAAATAGCCGGAAAAAGACATGGCCTAATATTATTCTATGACTTGTCTTTTTCTTAGGCTCTCTAAGCTTGGTAAAAACATGTCCTCAAATTCTTTTATTACAAATATAATTAAAATATCAAGAATTTGTATTCATATGACTAGATGTACCTAATTAAGCACAGAGTCTGTATGGATTCATAGACTAAGAGTTATTCAGCCATTTCGAAAACTCTGCCATCTTAACTTTATATAAAATATAACAAAGATGTATGATAAATAATTCAGTTGATCCTGAAAGCAGTCACTATGAACTCTCTATTGGAATTTACAGCTGAATCAGGTACACACTTCTGATTTTATGTTGGTCACAATGTATAACATATATATCATATCATTTCTATTATGTGCCATCACTCTTTTTTACTTCAGACCCACACTTTCATTTTTGGCTTTGAATCAACAAAACAAATCAGGATTTCAAATCAAAATGGTCACATGTGCCAATATCTGATATCAACAATTTGCCACATCAACACGTCCATTAGGTGAATGTAAAGAAGGAGAACTAGGTTCAGAAGTTAGTCTTGTTGTTTCATCTATCACATTATCACAAGAATGGTTCTTCTCTAAGAGTCCCTGATATTCATGGATCTCAGCTTTCTCTCTGATAACTGGATCTAATAATTGTTCATAGGTTGAGCAATTTGACACATTGGATATTGAGTCTGAGTCTTGTTTAGGATGTAACAAGGATGGAGATATATCAGCACTTTTAAAATCATTTTTATTATCATCACAGTTATAGTAGCTTATGTCTTTTGAGTCGGAATTTTTGCCCGTGGGTGGAGATTTTTGTAATATTTTGGCAGTTCCTGATAAAACTTCCTTCACCTGGGTCACATTTTGTTCAGAATTATAATCGGTTTCACGTTTGTCAGGGGTAAGGGGAGGGGCGGTAGCATTATTGAAGGGGTCAGGGGCCTCCAATAAATCATTTTTAGTTAATTTTTCTTTAAATAAGTCAGTATAGCGGGGTAGTTCCTCATCTTTTTCTATAGCAGGTTCTTTCTTGTAGTCTGCTATTTCTTCATACATAGCCTCAGGAATTTTAGCACCATTATCACCTATATCTAGTTCACCTTCACCATTAGATTCATTTACATCATCTGTAATATACAAGTTAAAAATATTTTTTCATATATAAATTGACACTTTTGCAAATTTCAGCTGGCAAAGCTGGGACTCTGTCCCCTTAAAATATCCACTGCTAACTTTATTTCTTGAGTGTTATGAGAAAATAATGAAGCAAAAGCCGTGAGCTCTAAAATTATCTTATTGAAAATAAACTGATGCAAGTGTGAAATATTTTGAAATCATTAGAAATGCAATAAGGAGCATCATCACAAAACAAACCAAATCATTCCTCAATAAGTTTTTAAAAAAATGCAAGGAACCAGACTACTATATATGTTAACAATGGGGACTACAAGGTAACTAATTATCACACTGTTAACACAGCTATAGTAATTATACAAAGGTGAAGTGTAAACAATAAATATATAAACAATAAATAAATATCTATACTCACCATCAGGTGTCTCATACGTATGATTTGTATCTTCACAAAATAATGGACACCTACAATAATAGAACACAGTAAAATCATATCATGAATGACAAGCAATTATAATAGAACAAAAAATTTATTTTATTAAAATTTCCTGCCAATAAAATTGTCATTAAATAAAATCAATAATGAAGATATAATTATATATACAATAGCTGATAATACATTATGGGATGGTTTCCTGAAAATAATTTTTGAATCAAATTGAAATTTAATATACTATCATAAATGTCCTCATTAAACATCCTCAAAAGATGGTTTATTATACAGAACGAATTAGCAATACGATTACTTTCAACTATTCTAAGGTTGTATGTAGGAGACAAAAAAGAGTTGACTTATGTAAACTCCAAAGGTATTTTCATTCTATGTTATTTTGGATGAATTTTGATCAAAACTCAAATTTCAACGACAACCATAAAATTTTACAGATATCCATAAGTAAAAGCAAAAGGAAGAAAAATTAATTTCATTATTGTACATTAGTAAAATTCGAGAGAGTTTAATTGGAATTTTCAAGCCATCAAATCTCACTATGAAATCACACAATATTAAAGGCAGAAAATGCAAAAAATTTCAAATTTCAAAGCAAACATCTGCTGACTTGCCCATCAAATTAATTATGTACAAGAAGACCCCATCTGCAGTTCAATTGTGACATTTACTAAATTAGAAAAAAACAGAGAATTAAGATTAAAATCTCTTGCACTACTGAGTTGTGATGTTTAATGGTAAAAAATAATCCATTTTACCGTTGAAATAAGTTGAGTTGATAAACAGCTGGGAGAATATCAAGTGATTTCTTGTGGATGTTTCACTACAGTCATCTTCAAAATCAATATGTAAAGTGAAAAGATCAACTATTCTACAAATACTATTTGATCTGGTCAATATAGTTTAATCACCAGTTCTACCAGTATTTAACAATACTATCATAGTGGTCTATTTCAGTTCTACCAGTATTTAACAATACTATCATAGTGGTCTATTTCAGTTCTACCAGTATTTAACAATACTATAATAGTGGTCTATTTCAGTTCTACCAGTATTTAACAATACTATCATAGTGGTCTATTTCAGTTCTACCAGTATTTAACAATACTATGATAGTGGTCTATTTCAGTTCTACCAGTATTAAACAATACTATCATAGTGGTCTATTTCAGTTCTACCAGTATTAAACAATACTATCAAATCAAAAGTTAATAATATTTTAATTAGTATCAATTGTGAATCTAACACCATTTTGAGGTATATCATTGAATAGCAAACACAGCTCAAAATGGATTTCTATTCTATCTATCATATCTGTAACAACTCTGAATTGAATTATTAAATTAGTAAGTTACTAATAGAGAGAATTTCATCCTAATATAAAACTGAAGCTTTTAACATAGTGAGCTAAAAACCAATAATTAGAAATTTGTCAAAGCTGGCATGATATTTTGAAATGGTTAAAAATAATATGATATCCTACTGACAGTTACAAAATTCACTCTGACACTTTCTCATTATATCGTGTCATTTTTTTCTAATATAAAACACAAGTTATTTTCAATTTCATTTCAAGCTGACTCACTTTCTGACACAGTAATTATTCAAAATCCAAATAGATGAAGTGAAATAATCAGTCAAACTATTTCTGTGAGTTATTTCTAAAACAATCTTTAAATTTTCCTTTAAAACTACCGGAAATTCTATTTTTTTAACACACTAATTTAATCAATAGCATGTGGTCTTTCTAATTTACCATTGATATCTAAACACTCTTAGTGTAGTAAGATTTACAAGAATTAATATCTGACAGTTATTTCTACCTGGAAATTTCTATTATCATTATATAATACTTGACCAAAAACAGTTCACTAAAAGTATATATGCAAATCTGATCTTGACATTCATCATCATCAGATTGTTACAATGCAAACAACACATTGTTACATTGCGGTCATCAGATTGTTACATTGTCATCATCAGAATGCAAACATCAAATTGGTACATTGCTACCATGAGATTGTTACATTGTCATCATCAGATAGTTACATTGTCATCATTAGAATGCAACCATTTATCATCATCAGATTGTTACAATGCAAACATCACATTGTTAAATTGCCGTCATCAGATTGTTACATTGTCATCATCAGCATGCAAATATCATATTGGTACATTGCTACCATGAGATTGTTACATTGTCATCATCAGATAGTTACATTGTCATCATCAGAATGCAAACATCACATTGTTACATTGTCATCATCAGATAGTTACATTGTCATCATCAGATAGTTACATTGTCATCATCAGATTTTCACATGGCAATCATCAATTGACTGAAACTGATCAAAACAAATGGAGTTAAAACATCCAATGCTATGTCTATCTTGGTGGATCATTAACTCAAAAAATCTAATTTTCAGTTATTAAATTATCAGTTTAATATTAGACAATATTCATTGATCAATTATAATCAATTAACAAACTGTTGAGACCATTAGATTGAAATAACAGTTTTTACACAAGAAAATATCATTTTACTAGACAATATCAAATGCTAGAAACAACACTTAACCACTTTTTCTTAACACATACAGGTTGAAAAAAAACAGAGTTTTACATGAATACAGACTTGCTGTCAAACAGAAAAGAAATATGATAGACACATAATCCCTATTAGACTAATCTTACTTTATGTCTCAATCAATTTAACTTATAAGTAAGTAAGTAAAAAAAAATACCCAAAAAACTTTTGTAGTCTTATCTAAGAGGATGCTGAGTAGACAAAATATTTCAAAACAGAAACATGTCCCAATTCTCTAGAGATAACAGACAAATATATTTGACGAGTGTACTTTCTTTAGTACTCTAATACTTTGGATTTGATATGATTGTTACTTTTGACTTACATAAAAATGTAAAAATGTGAAGACAGCATATAACTTATGACTATGCTGGTAACAATCATTACAATGATTACATTATTGTGGTTAAATGTGAAACATCTCATTGTCAATTGTATCTGTAAACCTAGATACATGTTTATCATTAATACCACCCAAACTTTTAGCTGGCCTGACATCTACTATAGATTACTAACAATATTGACATCTCGGTAAACATGTATCATATATCAATTCGATATCAGATTCGAATAATATAAGTTTATTGAGTACTCCACCAGTTTTGAAAATTAATTGTAGACAACAATTGAGCATAATGAATAATTAAACTTATGCTTTGAACTTGCACTGTAGATACAGTCCCTCACAAATTGACATATACATTGACTACATACTACACATGTTCAAATCTTTCAGTCAAAACTGTACAAGATCAATTCAATTTTGGTTGACAACCATCATCACTGAAGTATTTTTTAAGTATTTTCATGCAATCTTTAAACAATAAACCAGAAATCAATATGTAACAGACTGAATCTAATGTTTCACAGAAATGTAGAATCTGAGTATTTTGGTAGCTGGACAGTATCAATGGTACTTTATTTATTCACATGTTGTAACAGTGACTATCAGTAGTTATTGTTAACTAATCTGTATATTGGGATGAAAGTTAAATACTAACACATGGTAAGCTACACCTCTAATAGTTGTACTTTTGAGACTAAATTCCTAATCATTCCAGATCAAAAATAACAACTTCTAACCAGTTTGTCATCATTATCCAATCAATCTTATGAGAAAAGTCTTGACAATGGTTGAAGAGTCCTGGTTCAAGAATATTGATATGATACCTCAGTTGTAATATTAAACATTTAATATGATCCCTTCTAGCAAATAACCACAAATTAATAACTGGAATATGCCAATCGCAATTTCTGGTCAAAGGACCAATATTCTTTGAATAAAGGAAGAAAATGCTATATTTGATGAGGAATCAACTGCTGATTTGTCCCTGAAGCCTAGTTTTCATTCTTCAAATTGGAACTAAAAATAAAACTTACTGTATTCCACGTCTCTTGTGACACACACTAATGGTGATAACAATAATCAGGATTAGAACGGCAGCTGCTGTAGAACCCAAAACAATAGCCAGGAACTTTTCATCTGAAGTATCAAATCCGGACACCTGGTGACCTAAAGCCAATAGGAATATACCTATTTCATATACACTGTATACCTAACCTTTTTTTTTTTTATCTGTGAACAAGTTTTTCAAAAATTTAAATTTCATTATGGAATTTCAATTAGTCATTTAAATCATTAAGACTTTTTAGGTCAAAATTTGCATGTCCTGCAAGTGACATCTGCCATTGTAATTATTACAGATGAATAAAATTTGAATAAATTCTAAATGCATAATTTGAATCAGTATAATATGTTAAAATTAATTTTCTCCACAGTAACAGTAATATTTTAGTTTCATGACCAAAGAATAAAGTATACACATATATAAAGATAAGTTCCTAAAAGTTTTAAGTTCCCAATGTTAGTATACTACTCTACATATTACTGAACTTGAGTTAGTAAAGTACTTATTGTCATAAAACCCAAAATTTCAAAAAGAGCAGAGAAGCTCTGGAATGAGTTTTACTTAATGACAGATCTAAGTGTCATTTGGAATAATGTTTTCCAAGCTAAGCTATCTTTCTTAAACTTCTTAATCTGGATCTTCTGCAAAGTTTAAAGAATTGCTTACCTTTTTGGCAATTGGTATCACCATTACAGCACACATAAGTCAATTTATACTTCAATATTTCTTTTGGTGCAACAGTAACATAGTCTAATCTGAAAAATAATCAACAGAATAATATAAATTAAAGGTAAAGGTTATGTGGATCCATGTTTAAAAATTTAGACAAGAACCATCTAGAGATTATCCTTGAGAACCATTAGATGTTTTTCTTCTGAATAATACTCATTTCATGTCATTCTTTTCTTATTCAAATACAGTTTGATGTTCATATAAAGAATTTTTAACAAATACATCTAAACAATAGTATGCTAAAGTTTACAAATGAAGGATTTGATCAGAGTCAAGAAATAATATAAATGTTAAAGTGATATTAAAACCTAGCAATAGAACAGTAAATCTGAGGCTATTTGAACACTAAGAAGTTTAATTATAACAGGGTCAATAAGAGCTTTAAACTTCTTTTATACTACAAATATCATGCAATTACACTGCAATTTCTCTTTCTATATGCAGTCTGGTTAGGATCAAATGGAAACAGAATACTTTTATGTGTGTTTTCTTCCAATCTAAGCTGCTTCATTACTCATGCCTGGAGGTGAAACAAAGGTTTGGTGTATCATGAGAGATTTTCAATACAGTTCTTGAGACACGTTCATACTCTTGTTAATTCTACCAGACATGGCAGAAAATTGCTTTAGAGAGGACATTTATATCATTTTCCATGTGACACTTGGGGAATTATGAAGGAATTTCTGATTATTACAATTTCCTGGCAGTAGCTGATGTCTGACTGTAAACCATCATAACGTAGCCACTTGAATTAAAAATATCTCAGAGTGTAGTAGTCTTGAAGGAAATCAATGAAATCTCATACAAGTAAAGTTTATTATAGACAAGACATAGAGAAAATTGCAAGCCTTGAGACTTTCCAACCATAAACATTGTAAAGCTACTTATCAAATTTAACCCACAACAAAAACTATCAAAATATTGTCTGCTTTCATTTCTCATCATGGAGATAATATACCAAGTTTAACATGCCATGATATTCAAACCTATAAACACATTCCAGTTTCTATATTGAACTTTATTATATCATATTATAGTCCTCTAGAGAATTTTCTTGCAACTTTTATATGCTATACTTTATGCATGTTATTCATTTAATCTTATTTACCATCTTTATGCTGCACATTTAGCCTGCTATATTTCAATGATGACATTTCATACACTTATCATATACACTACATCAAATGTTGTTAGGTCGACTGGTCTCAGAATTCTATTTCAGATCTTTAGTCTTCCTAAATCTAGTCTAGTAACTAGAATGATCTTGCAGTAAATTAATTTGCCTTGGACTTGTACCAATAATATGAAACATAACTCAAATTCTTAATGAATTTACTGCTGCCTTATGATATTTTCAAAAGTGTCAACTTATTCCCAATACAAGAATAAATTGAGTTGGAATTCTAAATAATGAACATTGTATTACTAATATTGCCTATGGAGTTTATCATACATATTGATGCAGCAAAACCATCATTTAACATCAATGTCAAGGACATCTGAATTTCTTGCAATAAGGTCAATGAATAACACCCAAAAGGTTTTATGCCGGGACATAAACAGTTCAAATGTACAAATAAATGGATAATATTTTCTCAACTTTCTGTCACATACAGAATTGTAATAATCATAAAATTAATGGAAAGCACTGGAGAAACCAGAAATATGACACAAAATATAGCCATCAAATATGATAGATGGACATTGGATTGAGTTAAGTAGTGGAATAATCTATCAAATAAAGTTATACATTCACTTAATTTACACATTATACATTTATCAACTTACATCTGTTAGAGACCATACTTTACCCCTATTTCAAAATACAACCAAAAACAATTTCTCATGTAAAATTTCAAAAATTCAAACTTAACCTTAGAGTAGATTAAACGTTTGTGATGCAATTTTCAGCTAATTGGAAAGAATCAGTTTATCTTTCTTTCATGAAGATAACAGACTAAATCAAATTGTAAGATTACCAGTTACTAGATTTTTTGGATGTATAAATCACTTTTGGATAGTCTGAAGACAATTATATTGCTGGAGCAGATTATTAATTAAATCTCTATAATAGTATCTCATTAATTATCTTTTAACGAACTTCATCATTAACGAGAGGATGGTTTATAGCACTTAATTTAATTCTACTTAGATCATATGATTCTCTCAAGTCAATCTGATAAAAATGACAAGTTTTTTAAGAGTTTTCATTTACTTCACAATTAATTACTGATTAATGCATACCCAGAATATTTTCAACCAGAAACTTGTAAATCAAAATTCCATTAGTGTTCAATCATTGAAAACATTCACTTTTCAGTTTTTGTGAGCCATCAATTTCACAGGTTTGTGTCATTAGAAAAATGTCTTCAACATGTTATGAATTATTGAAATTAAAGCCGTTGAGTGAAATAAATCACAAATTGAAAAGAGTTTATTTTTTATTAATCCAAGCAATTTCATGACCATTAGTGAGCTCTTGCTTGACTCAAAAACTAGATAAACATAGCACAAAAAAGGAACTCATAATTTAACTAAATTCACCATGAAGATAATATTATATATGATTGCACTATGATCTTTAAAGGGACAGGTTCATCATTCGCTTGACCGATTGTACATTAGTGTCATAAACATGATTTTTTTTAGCTTAGCTCACAGTCGAAATTTGAGCATTTAAGTATCTGTGTGTTCATAATTATCAATTTTAGTACTATTAAAGACTTTTTTAAAAATATATTCCACTCAAAAATCCACACCTAAAAAAAGGTAATATCCAAAAAACAAACAATCCTCCTTTCTAAACCCTTAATACCTAAACCTTTAATACCTTCCAGTAATAGATGCCACTTGGCATATTGTTTTTTTAACACCTTCAAAAACATGTACACTCAAAGCTTGTATACTGCACAATTGTTATTGTTATTTTTCGAAAAAATCATTTATTTTGAAATTGACTACGAGAACAGATATTTATTTGAAGTAAGTTAGAATCGTAAAATAAGTTGCCAAAACAAATTGAATATTTTGAATACTGAGGTATAATAATGAGGATACCATGATGTACAAATAGATTTAAAATACATGAATTACAGTGGTAAAAACACTAGTAAAACAGTAGGATCAGCAGGATATCAAGCTATTATCACTGTATGCTACCAACTCCCTACAGCTAATATTTTGACTGAATAAATATTAGTATGTGTTTATCATATAAAGGTGTTAGAAATATACTAATTATTAGTCAATTATTATATATGACATCTTATGTAATAAATTTACCAGTAATCACATATTCACACTGCAGTGGTAAAAAAAATATCACTAGTTATATACCATGACTGAGGTGTTACTGATTCATATTTTATACATAGTATAAAGTGGTGCAAATTGCTGAGCATCAAATAATGTATTCCTTACATATCTTATACTTATAATTTGTCTAATGGGGCTTAAAATGTTACTAAACTGAGAAAATTCCATTTTTTGAGTTTTTTCTTGATTTTTTACATTTCTTTTATAAAAGTTAAGAGAATGAAGTCAAGTTGAAATAATTCTGTTACATTTGATAAAACGAATTCACAGAAAGTAGCCATTTTTTATTCTTAAAATACTCATTAAGATGTGACACCATACAAACTTAAATAATGTTTAACTTTGGCTAGCTGGTGATATTCCCATAAATTCTGACATGAAAGAAGCAGGAATTGATCTGAGAGTTGTGAGAACTTTGATACAATTTTCAGAATGGCGTGGTGTAAATGGATTTCAGGATGATAAATAATGTGTTTCATCTGTAACAATTTCTCTGAGTGCTTAGTTATTTTATTTAATTAGAGCTCTAGCTTTTAAAGGTTGTGAAGGAACCATAAATCCCAATTACAATCTATTGATATTATGGTAGTGGGACTGTAAAATGACAAAGAGAAATTTATTCCTCTAATAACCTGACACAAACTCTTCCATTTCCATGAAAATCATTTGAAGAATACAAGAGAGGAAATAGATCTCAATATAAAGAAATATATTCCTTCTGAGGTGACAAACTAACATAATTTGAAAACCAAACCTGATCATTTTCATATCTTGTGTGTCTACTAATGTTCAATGAACAGTTGCCAAATTCACTAGCCAATTTTGTTCAAATAAGATTCACAATTAAGTCCAAAATAATCTAGAAGTCTTTTTGAATTCCATTAAACTTCTATCAAATATTCAATATTCTTCAGTGTTCACAGACTTGGACAATAACTAAAAAATTCAACTTATTGGAAACAATTGCTTAAATTTTAAATCAGGAGATCAAATCAAAGATATAAGTATAAATGGACAGTTAGCACTAATTACTGACAAAACAGTTGGCATTAGAAAACAGTTCTTTAGGTCAGGCAAAACCATTGGCACCAGAAAAAAGTGTTTCAGGTTAAAAAGATGTAAATTGTTAGGAAAATCTCATTAAGTTCTTTCTAAACATATTCAATTAGGTAGACTTACAGACAAGAATAAAACGGAGATCTGGATAATATCACTTATCATGAGAAAATTATTCTGTCCACAGAATTAATTGAAGACTTTCAGGAATGATCTGGGAAACATAACATCACTAAATTTCTTGCCAGTGAAATGAATCACCATCAATAATTTGTCTAAATCAAATCAAATCAAATCAAATCAAATCTTTTAACATTGAAAATCAAATGCAGGCATTATCCTTACCAGTTAAAAATAACTAAATTGAAGTGTGTTCTGTTTTTGGACTGAAGAATAGATGAAACAATAATTGGTTGAGAATGTAAATTGTATTTTTGATCAAATTGAATATAAGTAATTTGATTATAAGAGACAGTGATACAATGTAATAGGAGAACAAAGCTGACAATTCATTAGACATTTAATAACTAGCAAGTAAGATGTACAAAAAACAACACTTAAACCAAAAAATGTGTGTGCATGGAAGAAAATAATGTGAAGACAGTAATACCAATTCTTTCAAATTTTCTAACTATCAAAGGATCTTTATTGG